TACCACTGGGAGTGCCCTCTGCTCTGTCTCTCGGAATCCTCCCCACCACTCTCATCCCAGCCACTCCGTAAACCCTCCCCTCTGCCTTCTCCCCTAACCCCCCAGAAATGCCTTCCTTCCTCCTGAACTCTCATTCTCCTCAGTCAAGTTTTTGGTAAGTGCCTTCTGCTGTCAAGCACTGTGGTTTGTCACTCTTGTCTGCATGGAGGGTTTTCCACCTCCTGACCCTGCTCCGTTCTACAAGTTACATACACCTTTCTCCGTCCCTTTGACAGGGCTTAGGCTCAGCCAGTAGCTGTCTTGGTTGTATTAGCTTCCCAAGCAGCCTCTTAAAGTTCTGCTGGAATTGCTCCTTTGGGCTAATAAAATAGTCCATTATAAATTTCTCCATTGAAGGGCGCCTGGCCGGCCCAGTCAGTGGAGCATGTGACTCTTGATCTCAGTGTTGTGGGTTTGAGCCCCATGCTGGGTATAGAGATTACTTAAAATCTTTAAAATACATACATACATACATTTATTTCTCCATTGATTTGGTAGGAGAGACTCCCAGAGAACAGGCTCTGGAGTCAGTCTGCCTGGCTTCATGTCTCTGCCCTGCCATTGAATGAATAGCTGTGCAACCCTGAGCATGGTGCTTACGTTCTCCAAACCTGTTTCCTCCCTCCTTTAAAACAGGCTGTCGTGATATAAAGAATTGGGGCACCTGGGTGGCTCAGTTGAGTGTCCAACCTCGGCTCGGGTCATGATCTCGCAGTTGGCGAGTTCAAGCCCTGCATCGGGCTCTCTGCTGTGAGCATGGAGCCTGCTTCGGATCCTCTGTCTCCCTCTCTTTCTCTGCCTCCCCTGCTCACTTTCTCTGTCTCTCTCAAAATAAATAGATAAACTTAAAAAAAAAAAAAAAAGGCTGTTGTGAGGATAAAATGAGATGATGCATGCACAGCATCTAGCCCAGTGCCTGGTTCATGATAAGACCTTAATACATAGCAGCTGTTACTCCCTTGTTCTGAACTTCATGCCAGCTTCTAGGCCAGTTGCAGGGGGTCCAGCAGGATACATAAGATGTGGCTGGCCCTCAGGAAGTGTTTGTCCCAACCAGATTTGAGGTGGCCCCAGAGAATCAAGTACCAGCATGGGATTCTGCATGGAGTGGTGGGGAGCACAGAAGTCATGGGTGGTCAGGGACAGGGGAGGTGACTTTGAGCTGGCCTTGAAGATGTGGTGAAATGTCACACTAGGCAGCTGCAGAAGCATAGAGGAAAGACATAGAGCAGTTGATGAACAGCATGGGGGCAGCAGGTGGGAAGTTTGTGGTGAGAGGTGTTAGGCAGAGAGGCTAGCCAGACCAGATGCAGAAGGGTCTTGTTAAGGGAAGTGTTGTTAGATTTATCAAACTAAGGATAAGCCACCTAGTTACATTTGAATTTCAGATAAGTAACAGATAATTTTGAAAGTGCAATTATGCCTTCAGTATTGTACAGGTTATACTTATACTAAAAAAATTGATTTTGTTGTTTATCTGAAATTCACATTTAACTGAGCAGACTGTATTTTATCGGGCAACTCTACTTATATGGCTCATTCCTCAAAGGCCCTGCTAAAATGCAGACAGGTTTTGGTCATAAGAGGAAGACTCCTGTTAACTTGTTGGAGCAGGTTTATTTTTCAGAGTAGCTTGAAAAGTGAAATGGGACATACGGGAGGTCAGTTGAGGGATTAAAGAGTGGACAAAGTGGGCAGGACACACAGGGGCCCTATCTGGGCAGGTAGCAGTGAGAGGGCGTGGGTTCTGGAAGAGATGTTGCTCCAGGGGGAGGCCAAGGTCCAGCTCAGAGCCACGAGGGATGTCTCCCACTTTCCCAGACTGAACCCATAAAAGGGGCCTGGCTTAGCTGACTGTTCTTTTGCTGCTCCCTGTGTTCTGGACTATTGGCAAGGGCTGTGGCTCACAGGTGGGATTTGAGAACAGGAGTGATGGGGACAGTAATCGTGGGAAGGAGGGCTGAGCTCTGGCTCTGGGATAACAAGTGTGGATCAGGAGTAGAAAAGAAGGTCAGAGGAGGCCACAGGCTGCTGAGGGGTGTCCTCTGGATTGTGCAGGTAGCAGGCTGTGGGGATGGCCCCCGGAGGGTACTATCAGTGGCTCTCTATTGCCTATAGAACAAAGCCCTGAATCAGCAAGGTGGGTCAAGGCCTTCATAGACTGATGTTACCTTCTCACTCCTGTTCCTTCTGGAGACCCCTCCCCCATACTCTAGGCTCCAGCCACATGGAACTCCCTGCAGCTAACGAGGACAACAGTTGTGGCACTCCTACTAACACGAGAGCACTTAATACCCTCCTACTGCTCTAACGCCGTGTTTGTTTAACCTGATTAACCTTCACAGGGATCTCGTGAAGAGGCTACTAATACTATCCAAATTGTACGTTTGAGAAAACTGAGACACACACAGGATTCAAGGTCTGACAGTTCACAGGAGAGGTCAAATGACTCACCCAGGTCACACACCAATAGGGGTTTAAGAGCCCAGGTTTAGACCCAGGCTGCCTGGGACAAGAGCCTGCACAATTCACCAAGTCACCATCCATCTCCCTGACTACACACCATGCTTTCCTGCTTCTGCTCCTTTGCATTTGAAGCCCAGGTCACAGGGCACCTCCTCTGTGAAGCTTTCCTGACAACCCCTTATTCCCCCAGCCCTCACTTAGCAAAAGTCCTGCCTGGTCCCCTTAGTAGTTAGTATACATCTTTGTTATGACAATGAATAGATTTCAGTCATAATTCTTTACCTTTCTGACTCCCCCACTGTGGAGCATCAATACTCATGGAGCATTTACACACCCACACATCCACGGTTTTTAACTGGATCCTCACTGATGCTCCACAAGGCATATAGAGATTGTTGTATTAGAAGTCTGAGACTAGTGATTGATTCTTTGGAAACAGAGACAGGAATAAAGCAATCCTGAAATGTTTCTGATTTTCTACAACAGAGTTAAGAAACAAAATCCTCAAGGTCAGCAACAGCCAGCTTTGTAGACAAATGGAGAAGAAAAGAAATGGACATGTTTAGATCTACTACTTTCTTTCATCTTCTTGGCAACCTGACATGGAAGCAGTGGGGATTCTGTGTTAGAGGAGATTGAGGTACAGCCTCAGGTCCTGAGGTCCAGTGCTTTGCCTACAGACCAGGAATTCAAACCCAGATCTGTCTGCTCTTTCCTCTACACCCAGGAAAGAGAATTAGAAAAACACAAGATAGGGGCACCTGGGTGGCTCAGTCGGTTGAGCATCCAACTTTGGCTCATGTCATGATCTCACAGTTCTGAGTTCAAGCCCCACGTCAGGCTCTGTGCTGACAGCTCAGAGCCTGGAGCCTGCTTCCGATTCTGTGTCTCCCTCTCTCTCTCTGCCCCTCCCCCACTTATGCTCTGTCTCTCTCTCTCTCTCTCTCTTTCTCTGTCAAAAATAAATAAATGTTAAAAAAAAAGAAAGAACAAGGAAAACACAAGATAGTCCTCGGCCTCCAGGAGTCTTAGCCATACAGGGGAGGGATTGTTGGGACTGAGGGGTTTCGGGTTTAGAGGAGAGAGGGGTGCCCGGGTTAGTAGAGGTGGAGGAAGGAGCATCCCAGGGGACTGAATAAGCAAAGCTTGGAGGTGGTACAACCCAAGCTATGTTCACTCAACATTAGTCTGTAGTGTTTTAAATGCCATGCTGGAGAGATTTGGCTCCTAGTGAGCTGTAATTTCTGAGCAAAAGCTATAGAACCTTGTAGCTTTCTGTAAATCCAGGTCCCCTGTCCCTTATAAGAAATCCTGGCATCAGATGTGTTTCTCACTTCAGATTCTGCCCAATTTTACAAAGGTAATAATGTGTTGCACCCACACAACTAAACTTCCTGACTCTGTTCACGTGGGGCACCAGCCTAAACAGGACGGTTCTTGGACACAATGACACTTGCTGCAGGGCAGCATCGGGATTCTGTTCTTGCTTAAGTCCCCATAGCAGCCCACACAGAGGTCCAGGAGCTTGTCTTTGCCTCCTGAGAGTGACAGCTGAGGTGTAAGGAGGGGGGTGGGGGAGTGCCTACCTAAATGAAGCTCCATGTTCCACAGGGGCTGAGCTCTCTTGTAAGAACACCATAGACACAGCTGCCAGAGTCCTCACAAAAAGTCACCACACTCAGGGAAACCCAAAGCCGTGGATTGCCCACTCATAGTTTTTTCAGTCCAGGTCCAGTTTACCATCCTGGGTCATTTTTACCATAAGGAGTGTTGCCTGGTTATGTATGTAGTTGATGTACATCTTCCATCTGGTCTCTGGGAGACAGGTTGACGGGAGGTTAACTGATGCTGAAGGGAAAAGGCCTTGATAGCCCTTTATCCACACTTGTATATACCATGTATTTGGTGACTCCTCCAGCAAGGTGGTATTCCATAATCAGACATTGATATTCCTGCAGCAAAATGTATCACGTCAATAGTAATAGGAAGTGGGATAAGTACAGATTAAGGGCACCTGGGTGGCTCAGTAGGTTAAGTGTTCGACTTCGGCTTAGGCCGTGATCTCGCGGTTCATTGGTTCGAGTCCTGCGTCGGGCTCTGTGCTGACAGCTCAGAGCCTGGAGCCTGGAGGCTGCTTTGGATTCTGTGTCCTCTCTCTGCCCCTCCATGCTCACCCTCTGTCTATTAAAATAAATAAACTCTGTCTATTAAAACAAAGATTTTTAAAAAATCTTTAAAAAAAGATTTTTAAAATAAAGACTAGTGAACCTCACATCGTCTCAGGTCAGGTTTTATAGCAAATGAGTTACAAAACAATGTTTCAGGGTTCAGAGCTTTTAGAGTTTGGTATTTGGAAAAGGAATCCACACCTGTACCTTTCTTCTTAAATTCCTTGAAACATGAAAGGAGTGCAATTCTATGCTTTACCACCAGAGGGCCCCCTAGTTATCATTTTGTTCCAGATCCTTGCTAATGGAGATTTTTCCTCTCTTCAGCTTGCAGATGCCAGCAAGCTACCCAACCTGAAAGAACTTCTCCAGTCCTCTGGAGACAAAGACAAACGTGCCAGGGATCTGGTGAGCTGGATTTTATCCTCAAAGGTCCTGACAATCCACAGTGCAGGGAAGTCAGAGGTGAGACTTTGGTCTGCAGGACAGCACATTCCTAGAGCTAAAGGGCTCTGGGACCTCCTTGTGCACCAGAATGGCCTGGGAAGCTTGTTGAAAATGCAGATTCCTGGACCTTGCCCTGAGAGATGCTGATTCTGTGTCTGGAGTGGTCTCAGGAACTTGCACACTAGCAGTGCAAACCTGTGTTCCCCCTCTTACTGTGAACCTGGTGCAGGTTACTGGGTGCATTTCATTAACTCAGTTTCCTCATCTATAAAATGGGAACAATAATAGTATACTTCCACAGGGAACTAGCTGTGAGAATTGAATGACTTTTCACATTTAGAAGAATGCCTTAAGGCATTCTGCTAAGGGCTCAGTAAATGTTGGGTATCACAAGCACCCCAGGTAAATCCAGTAAGGGTGCACCCTTGACCACACCTTAAGAAACATTGGCCTCATCCAGTTGTTAGGAAACAGAGAGGCAGAACCGGAAGTAATGGAAAACTTTAGGCTCTGGGATCAAATCCCACTTCCATCCATTATTGAGTCTCCTTTTCCCTATTTATAAATTGTGAATATTAATAGCTAACTCAGAGGGGAGCTATGATAGAATGTATGCCACCCCCAGTACAGTTTCTGGCACAGATCAGACATTCTGTAATTCGGTTTCCCTTGCCTGGCCAGGATCTCCCAGGGACAGGCTGGGATGGCAGGGACCTGAATGTAGGAAGGCAGATCCCTGATCTGGTGCTCTTTTCTCTGAGCAGCAGCAGGGGTTTATCTGTACTGGTCTTTACTTAATTTTATTTTAAGAACATTTAATTTTACAAGCTCCTGCTCAAGACAGAAATCCTCCTTAAGTGGCATAGAATTTGGTACCTTGGATTCTTGTGTCTAGGGACGTCCATCTCTGTTGGTAAATGGTAAATAACACACAGAGCCCCACAGTGGGAGTCAGGAGATCCCTATTCAAGTCCAGGCTGGGTTGCTAACTGCTAGATGATCCCTGGGTTTCACTTTTGTCATCTGCTAAATTTAGATTTATTCATTCTTCATGTGGGTATTAAGCACCTGCTAGATGTTGGCTGCTGTAGGTAAAGTAAATAAGGCAGTGTGACTCCTTGACTTTTCATTATGGACCAGTTAAGTTCCATTAAAATATGGAGTGTTGGCGCCATATGGAGTGAGGGTTTTCAGCCTTTTATCATGTCCAAGTAAGGACGTGAGGCTGCCATGTATCATCACTTTATAAAAGGATGTTTTAATATAAAAAAAGAGGATGTTCTCAAAAAAAGGACAATTCTTCCAAAGAAAGGATGGCAACCTTACAGCAGTATAAATGTATCTGTTACATTGTCCTTATTTTTCTCATTTAAACACAACCCAGAGAAAACTTTGCCACAGATTGGCTTTGGTCTATGACTTACTGTTTAGAAATCACTGAAAAGATGTCATCTCTGCCTTGAAAAGGATTATTGCCTTTTAGGAAGAGCTCACTCTTCTGTATCAATAGGTTTTGTGGCATGGCAAATCATTCCAAAAACCTTGATTAAAACAACCTTGATTGTTTCTCATGATTCTGTGAGTGAGTTGGATTGTTCTTCTGGGTGGGGCAGGATGATCTAGTGTCTCAGTCTTCAGTTGGTATGTCTCACATGTCTCCATCTTCCGCTGGGGTGGCTGCTGTGGTTGGGGCCCTCCTCTGCGAGACTGTCACCCTCCTGAAGGCTAGCAGGGCTCATTCACATGGCAGTGAAGCGTTCCCAGCAGCAGATGGTTAAGGGCGAGCCCTTTCAAAGTCTGTTTGCTACATATTTGCCAGGGTCCCATTGGTCAAAGCAAGTCACATGGCCAAGCCCAGATTCAAGGTGGCACAGAGGTGCCACATCTTGATGGAGTCCGGGAATTCTACCTGCAGACTCACATTACAGAGGGGTGATAGACAAGGATGAGTGGAAAGGTTGTGGACATTTTTGCAACTGATCACACCTTTCTACCTCCTGAGACTATTGTAAAGACAGAGTGCAGGAAAGGGATGTGACAGTGTTATGAAAACTAGGGGTGGTGTCTAGTTCAAAGGAGCAGTTTGTGCTTCTTGGCCTAATGTGGGGAAAAACATTATGATAGAAAAGTAATCTTGAACTAGAAGCTCTAAGCTTATTTATAAATTGTTATCTTTATTCTCATGAAACTAGTTCTCATGAGCAGACCCCATAGGAATTAAGCCCAAAGCTTTAGGAGGCCATTTTGGCAGCACAACTTAACAGCTTCCCCAATAAAATTGCGACTTCCTACATGTTTTCAAGTTCGAAAAGATCCAAAAGCTGACCGGTGCCCCTCACACGCCTGTCCCCGTGCCGGACTTCCTGTTTGAAATTGAGTACTCCAACCCAGCGAACGCCAAATTTTATGAGACCAAAGGAGAACGAGACCTAATCTACGCCTTCCACGGGAGCCGCCTCGAAAACTTCCATTCCATCATCCACAATGGGCTGCATTGCCACCTGAACAAGGTGGGGCCTAAGCCTAATGACATGAGGGTCAGAACACTGGGGAGTTGCCTGGGGGAGGCTGGGGGGGGATAGGTTCACTGAGGCCACACTCAGGTGTGGTCTGCAGACCAGCACCTGGGAGCCTGTGAAAATGCAGAATCTTGAGCCCACCCTAGACCTTCTGAATTAGAACCTGCATTTTATTATTTTTTTTTTTAATTTTTTTTTCAACGTTTTTTTATTTATTTTTGGGACAGAGAGAGACAGAGCATGAACAGGGGAGGGGCAGAGAGAGAGGGAGACACAGAATCGGAAACAGGCTCCAGGCTCCGAGCCATCAGCCCAGAGCCTGACGCGGGGCTCGAACTCACGGACCGCGAGATCGTGACCTGGCTGAAGTCGGACGCTTAACCGACTGCGCCACCCAGGCGCCCCTGAACCTGCATTTTAATAAGATCTCTGTGTGATTCCTGTACTGATTACAGTTTAAGAACTATGGATTTAAAGATGGTTCCCAACCTTGGCTGCCCATTTAGAATCACTTGGGAAGCTTTTAAAAATCCCAATGCTTGGCTGTATCCCAGAAGAATTCAATCAGAATCTCTGGTGTGGGGCCCAGATAACAGTATGCTTTAAAAGCCAGGGGATCCCATGGGGCACCTGTGGCTCAGTCAGTGAAGCATCCAGCTCTTGATTTCAGCTCAGGTCATGATCTCACAGCTCATGAGATCAAGCCCTTCATCATGTTCTGTGCTGACAGCATGGACCCTGCTTGGGATTCTCTTTCCCTCTATGCCCCTCCCTTTCTCGTGCTCTGTCTCTCTCTCAAAATAAATAAATAAACATGAAAAAAATAAACAAAAGCCAGGTAATCCCAGTATGTCGCCAACCCTTCCTGTTCAGCATGGTCCCTCGCCCAGCTGCGCCACATCACCCAAGAGCTTGTTGGACATACAACATCTCAGGCAGACCCCAGACCACCTGATCAGAGATGACTTTAACAAGCTCACCAGGTGATTTGTCTGAAGTTTGAGAAGTACTTGCCTAGGGGACAGTCCAACAGAATCAGTCCTTAGAAATATTGAGGGATGCTCCAAGGAGAGGTCCTTTCCTCCCTTTTTTTTGGAGTCAAAACAATGTCACTCACCCTTCTCTGCTGGCATTTATTTTGGCTCTTAGTAAGGTATAGGAAGACAAGTACATATAGGAGCCAGAAAGACCACCTTAGCCACTCTGTGTCCTGGGAAATTACTTAACCTCTCTGAGCCTCAGTGTCCTCATCTGGAAAATAGGACGTTATCACCCACAGTCTCGTGTGCTGAGAGGATTCAAATAGTTCATATATGCAAAGTGTTCTTCCTGTTACTAGACTCTAAGAAAGCAATGACTGCATTTATAGGTGGATGGAGAGGGAATCTAGGCTAGTGGCAGTGCTGCAGCCTTTCCCTAGTATGCCAACATCTGCCTCGTCTGAGGGGTTGGCTCCATGGCCATGGGCTCTGTTGTAGCTGATGCAGCCCTGAGGCTAGAGAGACTTCCCACACTGCTGTAGCTGATTAGTGTGCAGTTGGGTTTTTTGTACGATGACAGGCCTGTTTATACTGGCTCTCGGCCTATTATTATGGCCAGGCTACTGGAATCTGGGGGGTCTCTGCTTCACAGCATAACTGGCCTTGGAGGAGTTGCCTGAAGATTACACCAGACCTTCTCTTCAGTGTCCAGGGAGTTTGCTGCTTAGAGACATCTTGTCGGAGTCCTTTGGTAAAGCGGATGCTCTTTTGGCTGCTTCTGTCTGGGTTTTCAGTGAGGGGCTTGCTTGAGGGAGCCTACTTGCCAGTTGAAGCTGTGAGATTGTTTTCTTGGTACAGATACCCCAGCTTTCCCACTCTGGTGCGCCTCTGCTTACAGCAGTCTCGCTCAAGGCTCTTGAGTCTATGGAGTCTAGTCTGTGTATATATGGCAGCTATAGCTTAGAATGGGTGTAGAGTCAGATCAGACAACACCCAGGGTCCTTGGAGAAGGTCTGTGTCAGCTTTTGAGACATGGGGACACTGCCTAACTTGGCAAGGGGCTTCCCAAAGGTAAAGCAAAGGCTTGTTTCATTCCCCTAAGCTTCACCTAACCAGCTTAGAATTGTAGAAGCCTGGTGCCACTGAATAGGACATTTCTCAGTTCCCAAGCATAGGCTGTTCAGAGAGCAGTTTGAGTTCACTTAACAGATCCTAATACTGCAGCCAAAAGATAGCAATTGAATTTCAAATTCCATCCATTGGTAACAGCTACCTGAAATGTTGTGTTGAGAAGGATTCTGAGTCAGTATGAATGAGTGCCATGATTGATATTTTTATGCTGGCCATCATGGTTGATTATAGACCCTTGGCCATGGTCTACCATGGGCAAAAGATGTGTCTGCTCTGCCTGCTGTAGTCTCAACTTGTAGGTATGTCTCCTGATATCATTCTCTCTCATCTGACATGCTCCTTCATGGAGGATATCAAGTTAGCACCTACCACTAGGGACCTGCCTCCTAGATTTTGGACATCTCCTTGGTTGACACCAACACAGAGTAAAACTTACCATGTCCCTAATATAGGCCTGCCCTATTTGGTTACAGTTTCTTGTCTGAGAGTTCATTTCTTTTTCAAGTAGTGACTTAGATTACTTCCATCCTCAGGTGTGATCCCCCTCGCTGTGCATAAGTGTGTGACTTTGCTTCTGCAAGGCCATTGGTGTAACCATGCTAAATGCATTCACGTAACAGGAATTGCTAATACATTATAATATAAACGCCCACCCCTCCGATGTGTCAGGTGTCCTGCTCGATGCTTTATGTACATTATCTCATTGAATCATCCTCAACCTCATAGAGGAGATACTAACATCACCATTTTACAGATGTAGAAACTGAGACCGAGAGAGTTTATGTAACTTGCCAGCTTGTTGGAGGTATAGTCAGGATTCAAACTCAGGTCTGTTTGGACTCTTATACCTATGTTTTTCTCACTCAACCTTGACCATAGGAACTGCTAGTTTTCTAGGCTAGGTGGGCACATCCACAATTAGTTAAACTGTCATCAGATAGGAATGGGTTTACTAATAACTCTGTGATGATGTCATAGAATAATTTGATATTATATGCCTTTTACTGGGGATAAAGAGGCTTGAGAATTTTGTATTTACAACTCTGTTGAAGAATGACCTGTGTCAGCTTGCTGTGCCAATTTTACATTCACCCAGCCTTGTTTCTTTTCTGTTGACCTCTGCCATTCCAGACATCCTTGTTTGGGGAAGGGACCTACCTCACCAGTGACTTGAGCCTGGCCCTCATTTATAGCCCCCATGGCCTTGGATGGCAGCGCAGCCTCCTTGGCCCCATCCTCAGCTGTGTGGCTGTGTGTGAAGTCATTGATCATCCAGATGTCAAGTGCCAAATGAAGAAGAAGGGTGAGTGAGGACTTGGCCTGGACCTAGGCTGCAGGCCTCTGAGTGTGTAGGCTCTTGCCGTTGACCCATCTGTTGGGTGGAGCACCCATTGCATGCAGAGGGATGGGCTGGGTCCAAAGCAATGTGGGACAGGGGCTTGCCTTCAAGGAGTGAACAGTCTCCTTGGGGATTGAGCACTTACTACAAGGTGGTGGGCACAGAGTGCCATGTGAGGAGGCTGATGAGGTCCACAAGGGCAGCTCACAGGAAGGTGCAATCAAACATAGTAGGTCCAAGTACTCAGGGGAAACTTTGGGGAGAGGTAAGATTTTTTTTTAATGTTTATTTATTTTTGAGAGAGAGGGGGGAAGGGCAGAGAGAGAAGGAGACACAGAATCTGAAGCAGGCTCTAGGCTCTGAGCTGTCAGCACAGAGCCTGACACAGGGCTTGAACCCACGAACGGCAAGATCATGACCTGAGCTAAAGTCAGACGCTTAACCAACTGAGCCACCTAGGTGCCCCGGGAGGAAGTGAGATTTGACAGATAAAAGGGAGCGTGTGAGCCCAGAGTGTGGGCTCCTTGAAGGCAGAAAGTGAGTTTTAGTCACTCTTGGGCACCTGATACCTGCAGAGAGCCTGAAACCTACTTGACATTCAGTAGGTATTCACTAAACTGAAGCTAAAGACGTGGATCCAGACCCTGTCCTCCAGGCTACTCTGGTATGTGCCTGAGCCCACAGAGGATGTGAGAGGCAACTGAGGCCACAGAGAGTAAATCCTGGACTCTCTGGGGGAGTGGATGACTAGCTAGAGCTCAGTCCACTCCTCCGATATGTCTCTTAGAGTCTGTGCCTTGTGCGCCCTGCTGTTTTGCCCGCAAAGGCAGAAGAGTCGCAGAACTGTTACTCTAGTCTCCAGAACTGGCCTGTTGGTTCCACTGAGAAAAGGAGAATTGAGGAAACTGTCTGTTCCTGGCCTCCAATGTAAAACAACTGGAATCCTGAGGAATGGCCCGTGTCTGACACTAACCTTCCACACCAGGCAGCATGAATATTTGCACTTATAATTCTTAGGAAGTTAGCAAACTGTGACATCAACATCAAAACAAAACCTTGCAGGGTCTACTGTTGCACACAGCTTTGGCTTTGTTTGTTTGTTTGTTTTTATAAAGCTTCATCATATTATTAAAAGGAAAGTTTTAGGTTTTTTTTGTTTTGTTTTGTTTTTTAAACAAATCTTGGTACAAAGAGTGGAACATAAGAGTTCTAAGAAGCTCAAAAATCCGGAATGATTAATTTAAAATGCCTAAGAGACTTGTTTTGGGTCAAGCCCTGTACCTAGGCCCAGATAATTTTTTTGTTATGGCCATCAGTCCGCTTCTTCCCTGTGCTTGTCCAATGCAGGTTTTTTCTCCCCTTGTCTCCCTTTTATCTTCCTGTTCCTTTTTCCCCTTGTCCAGCTTGTCAGACTCTCCTGTATTTTAGTGCTGCTTCACATACAGCACATATACAGCTGAGGCCATTCCTCACCCTGCTGGGGCTTCCCCACCCTCATGACCAGGAGGCTTGACTTATTTCTATTTGTAATTTGCTTTTTTTATTATTGTATTTCCCCCCGGTGAAGTTGTACTTTATTCTCCTTATTCAGATTCTAAGGAGATAGATCGCAGGAGAGCAAGAATCAAACATAGTGAAGGCGGAGACATCCCTCCAAAGTACTTTGTGGTCACCAATAACCAGCTCCTGCGAGTGAAGTACCTGCTGGTGTACTCCCAGAAGCAGCCCAAGAGGTAAGGAGGACGGGCCCTGCTAGAGGTCCAGGAGAACATCTAAATGCTGAGAGTATTGTGTCCCTAGTTATCAGCATCCCTTGCCCCCAGCCTTAGACCTCAGCTATGTGTAAAATATATAAAACGCTGTGCTGCACACGGTGAGGGGTGAGGAAGACAGGTGGAATAAGATGCGGTCCTGGCCCTGAGAGGAGTGTGTTCTAGTGAAGAAGACAGAGAGATTTCTAAATACAAATAACATGAGGGACTGAACGAAGCCAAATTGGCTGCTCCAGACCATGAGGCCCCTTAGCCACCCAGGCTCCTGATTGTAGTCGGAAATGCACTGATTTAGGTTAAGCCAAGAGGCAGGGTGGTGCCTGGGTGCTGACTGGGAATATGTGCCACTCTGCTTGGTCACTTCCTGCGGTGACTGCTGCTCTCTGGACCTGAGATGCTTCATCTTTAAGTCCAAGATGAGGGTGTTGGACTCAACAGCAGACAAGACCTGTCAGCTCCTCAGAACCGTGGTGGATTCCACATCCCATCTCAGCAGTGTGATGGTGGGTGGCAGGGTTCCCCGGGATCGAGGGTCACTTTGAGATCCTGTCACATTGTTGGGGTCTGTGGCAGAGCTTCTGATGGGGATGAGCAGCAGATGAGCAGCTAAGGGGGTCACTTGTAATCCTCCCCACTCCTGGCTGTATACACCAGTGTTTCCATGCTTCAAGATTTCATAAACCAGTAAAATCCTCACCCCATCCCCCACATTGGGGAGATTTTCATAGGGTTCCTGAGTCTGAGGAACATTATCCTCTGGTTTAAAATCATCTGGCTTTTTCTACTTGAAAATTCCATTCCTTTCCCACTTCTCCCTGGAGTGTCTCTTCAGTACACACTTGGACAGTTTAGATCATCTCCCAGTGGGCCAGAGAGGATTTCCCCAGCTCGGACTGATATCTGTACATGTCTAAAAGTGAAAAGATTTCTGCTAAATTACCTGCCACCTGCTGCCATCTGGGCAGACACCCTGAGCACAGTCATTCTTCTAGATACCAAAGTCTTGCCTAAGAAAAGGTGGGTCACAAAAGGCACCAGAGGAGCTATGAAAGAGAAGATCAGGATGAGCTCATTGCGTAGCTGTCTTTGTACATTTAGAAGATGTTCTGGTGAAAGATGTGTCGGTGCCAGGGCAAATAGCCCCAGATTTTTTTGAGCGAAGGAGCATGCACGAAGCTTCGTTTCATGGCTCACCCAGAGGATGAGATTCATCATTTCATCATCTTTGAGCCAGAAGTTGTTGCATACACTTAAAAAAAAAAAATGTTTTTCTCTTCTTGCCAACATCACTTTTTCCCCCCCTTAAGCAGGGCTTCAAGCCAGCTGTCCTGGTTTTCCAGCCATTGGTTTACGGTCATGATATCCCTGTATCTGCTGCTGCTGCTCATTGTGAGTGCCATCAACTCCTCAGCCTTCCAACACTTCTGGAATCGTGCAAAGAGATAATCTCTCTGGTGTGGGGGCCACCTCGACCATGTGCCTTATGACAACCTGTTCTGTACCTCCCATGCGCCGCGTCCAACCAGGTGGAGCCTGGGGGCCAGTTGGGGACCACAGGACAATTTTCATATGCCATAAATGTATTGATTGCCTTTGATGATGCTCTGAGCCACACTCCGCTCAGTGGGGACCACGAGTCTCTCGCTCTGGGGCTTCAGGGGAGTCCTCCTGTCTGCTCCTTCCTAAACAGTCCTAGGGAGTTGGTTTTTCTGCCAGGGCCAAAGGAAAAAGTCCTGCTGCATTTAAAAACAAAGTGTCCAAGCTGTCAGTGGGGTGTTTACAGTCACTCCTGGCAGACGTTGGCCCTTTCTCTAATGCCTTCTGGAAGGCAGAATATGTGTAGTGGGGACTATAAATCACTAGGCGGTTGCCTTGTTTTGACCTGAGACACCCAAGAGGAACAGTCATGTTTCTCATAAAAATTGGTGGGATCGTTTTGAATTCCATCAGCCTTTGTATGTGAGTGCAAAACCTTTTCACAGTTTTCTCAGATCAACAAACAGCCTTCTGCTACAGCTGTAACCCCCCTGCCCCAACCATGGACGAGCAAGGAAGGAGCCAGAGACCTGATAAAAAAGACAAATTTAACAGCAACTCAAGTCTTTTTCTAAAAATTACCAACTGCTGATTGTAGTTGAAATGGAAACACATGTTTGTTTTCTGTTTTGTTTTGCTTTTTTAAGTAGCTATTTGACAAATTCATCTTTGGGAGCTGAGTAAAAGGAGAAGATTTCGAGAGCACTCTTTGGTCAGTGCCCATAGTCTCTTTCCTGGCCATGTGTTAGAGAAAGGGATTTGAGTTGCAGGCCTGCCACCTGTTCTTGTTCTCACGAAGCTGCCTTGATTGTGGCCTCCCAGCCACAAGTGCCACGCTGCAGGACCTCAGGACACGGGCCTGCCTCAGTCTGCCGCCAGTGTGCATGGACTGAGCCTCCCTTGGAGGGCTCACAGGTCGTCGGGACCCAACCTGGGCTTTAAAAGTGGGGAGGAAGCCTCTGGCTGCTCAGGGAGCTGCAGATCTCCTTGCTGTGTTCTCTGTCCTTCCTTCCTGCCCTGTTTCAGCCATCATGGAGCCCCATCTGATTTGAGGGGTAGATCTCTGTAAAGAAGGTAGAAAGTCATTTTTCTATAATCTGTGAAGTTGTGAACAAGCCACTATCATGGTTTTTACATCGAATATTGGAAGATTTCAGAGATAATAAAGGTATTTTCCTAATTACCAAGTGGCCTTTGTGACTGCTTTCAGTCTCAGCAGGAGTCTGCCATGTATGCCTTGTTGCTAAAAATCTTATCCTCTCTTCCTTTGTTCAAGGTAGCAGTTTTCTGGACACCATATATCACCTGGATATCTAGTAGGTATTAGATTGCTAGTCATTGATTTAACAAATACGAGCACCTACCGTGTGCCAGGCACTAGAAATAGGAGCAGGATCAAGGTAAAAGTGTCCCTGCCCTCCTGGAGCTGCCAGTCTGGCAAGGTCGGGAGCTGGACAAGCATTCTCAGGAGTGGGGTTGGATTACATGTTGTTATAAAGGAGTTTTGGAAAATACTTGGCAAGAAGTCTTAACATAGTCTGGGGTCAGAAAATACAGAAGTGACACATGTACACCTGCAAAGCACCTACGTGTGCAAATTTCGTTTTTTCTTTTCTTTTTCTTTTTCTATCTTTGTTTTTTTTTTTAGTAGGCTTCACACCCAGTGTGGAGCCCAACTCAAGACTTGATCTCACAACCCTGAAATCAAGACCTGAGCTGAGATCCAGAGTCGGACACTTAACTGACTGAGCCACCCAGGTGCCCCTGATTTATTTAATCCTGACAACAGATAAGAAACGGAAGTGCCAGAGAATTTTGTAGCTTGCTCAAAGCTATGTGGCTGGGAAGCAGCACAGAGCTGGGAGCTGCACATGGCAGGTTTCAGTGTTAATCTCACAACCACCATCTTCTGCAGCACCCCTGGGCTCCTAGAAAAGGTGATATTTAACTGAAGCCCGAAAGAACCACCAGTATCAGGCCAACAAGTGGAGGGAGAGTGTTTCAGGCACTGGGAAAAGCACATGTAAGGACCTAGAGTTCTTGCTGGAGGAGTTAAAAGCAGGAAGGTCATAAAGGAAGAGGCTGTGGTGAGAAATGGGGCGGAAGAGGTGGGCACGGGCCAGATCATGCAAGACCCTCAAAGCTGTGGGCCAGGGAGCGCCATTAGGTTTTAAGCATGGAAATGATATGATCAGATTTGGTTTCCAGGAAGCTCATTCTGGCTGGTGGTTGCAGAATAGATTTAGCATTATTTTGAGGATTAAAAGAACTGACACAGTCGGGCTCAGCACAGAGCAAATAGCTGACATGTTTCAGCTGCTATTATTAGTTTTTAGTGGCCCAACAGAGGGAAATGAGCATGCACAGGACACCTAGCAGCAATGTCCAGGGAAATAGGAGGAAACCAAGACAGCAAAGTGTCATGGAAGCCAAAAAGGCAATCTTGATGAGCAGTGTCAAATGGTGCCGAGCAGTTGGGATTATACCTGGGAAGTATCCATTGGATTTACTGAGTTGGAGATCATTAGCGAACTTGCTGGGAGCAGTTTCAAGTAGCATTCAGCAACAGGGGATGCGGACAAAGTCCAACTGCACAGATGTGAAATGTGCAGTTTCCAGAAATTCTTGGGCAATATTTATTTAAAACCTAGTCCCCCCTCTTTTTCCCTGAGGTTTCTGCCCCCACCCCACCCCCAAAGAGTCAATGCAATACCTGATGTGAGCATGGGGCAAACAATGAGCATGGTAGGAACTTGAGGATGGATGAAGAATGGTCCTATCCTCCAGGTGCTCCTAGGCTAATGGAGAGCCATTGGACAGGTACATTTTGATGTGACAGAAGGAAATCCCTGAGTGAGCAGAGAGTAGGTCAGGACTACATTATGACTTTCATGGGCACTTTTGCCTTCCTGGACTCCTTAATAAATATTTAAAATTATATTTTATGATTGTGTTGGTATAAAAATGAATATATTACTATTAAATACTAAAATGTTTGCTTCCACTTACAAGCTTGTTTTTTCCTCCTGATTTTAAAAATTTTAGTTTTAATTTTTAAATGTTTATTTTTGAGAGAGAGTGAGAGAGCACGAGCAGGAGAGGGGAAGAAAGAGGGAGGGACAGAGGATCTGAAGTGGGCTCTGTGCTGAGAGCAGAGAGGCTGATGCAGGGCTCGAACTCAGAAACCGTGAAATCATGACCTGAGCCAAAGTTGGATGCTTAACTGACTGAACCACCAAGGCACCCCTTTTTTTAATTAAAAAAAATTTTTTTTAGAGAGAGAGTGTAAGTGGGGGAGAGGGGCAGAGGGAGAGAGAGACAGAATCTCAAGCAGACTCCACACTCAGCATGGAGCTCAACACAGGGCTTGATCCCATGACACTGGGATCATGACCCGAGCCCAGATCAAGAGTTAGATGCTCAACCAACTGAGCCACCCAGGCATGCTTCCTTCTGCTTTTAAAGGAAATTAAAACATTTTTGTGATGTGGATTCTATGCCCTGTGCCTATAATGCCTTATGGATGGGTCCACCCTGGACTAGGGTAATGGGCGATAGCGTGAGATCTCTGGGTAGCTAGGAATGGAGAGGCGGGAAGGAGACAAACTCTAAAGACTCACAGTTCTATTTAGCACCAACCTGACATCTGAAACAGACCCCAGAGGCCAGCCATCTCCAGGAAAGGGCAAATTTGAGTGCTGGAGTTTGGAGGCCCAAGAGGATCATGCTGCAGACATTTTTTCATGGAGAAAGAAGAAGCAGTCTCCTTGCTGACACACCCCCTCTGGGCCAAGAGCTTCACCAGGCCACTGATGGCAGAGGAGACCAGATGGTTCAGTTGGAGCCACCTCACATCAGAGCTGCAGCTGCCTTGGTCTTGTGAAAGCAAACCCATCAACCCTCTATCACTAATGCTACTGTCAGTGAGGACAATTTGGGCAGGGGTGACAAGAAGACCTTCCACAAGTTAGGTCACTGCTTCTGGAAAGTGCCAAGAATCCAATGAGCTGTCAGTTTTCCCCACAAAGGGAAGGGGTATTACTCTGTGGGCTTTTGGATAAATGTACCTGTGTATGTGAGAGAAACATGGAATAGGAATGTGATTCACTATTATTTCTGATTAATTCATTTCATTAAATACTGATTGCTTACAAAATCAGAGCTGGTAGGGAGTTTGTGACTTAAAGAGCCCAATTCAGATCTTTTTCTTTAGAACATGGCCCCATGCATCTGAGCCCAATCCTGCTGCTAAGCCCTGGAGGTTTGTGTTGGCCTGGAATCAGCTGCACTCACCCTCCCCATTGCCATGGTGATTCTTGGGATGGTGGGGGGAGCTGGGTTCAGCTCCTCTCTCTCTCTCTCTCTCTCTCTCTCTCTCTCTCTCTCTCTCTCTCTCTCTCTCTCTCTCTCTCTCTGTCTCTCTCTCTCTCTGTCACACACACACACACACACACACACACACACACACACACACACACCCTCCTTAAGCCCCCTCCACAGCCTCCACCCATCTCTCCTCGCTCCCCTCCTTTCCACCCGGCCCCACCTCGTGAGTTTTCCATCTCTTGGCCTTTGTTTGTTTTTGCTTTTGTCAGTCTCCCTCCTCTGGATGGGTTTCTGTTTGTTTCCAAACTGTCTGGGGCTGTGTACCAGGGAGACAGTGTCCTGGGCTGCCTCTAGCCCTGATCTGGTTAGAATAAGCCCCTCTTCTTTGCATGATCTCCAACCTGACATTTGGAACATCCAAAACAAATCATGACATTCTGAAGCGAGATAGAAACCACCATCTCCACCCACTTCTGTTGGCACTCCTGTCCACCTGGAAAAGGTTTTAGAAAATTTCCAGTGTTCTCCACATCGTGGAGCCCTGGGAAGGGGAAGCAGCACTTTTTGAATACCTATTGACTACC